GGAGAAGATGGGATGGAATTGGATTGCTTTTGCCTGTAGAGGGATTTGCCTTGGTAGGCAGAAGGGATACTGATTTGTGTGAAACAGGGCTGAGGGAAGAGAAACTGGTGGAAGGCATCTTGATGGAAATGAGGAGAAGAGAACACTCTCAGTGAATGGTTTCAATTTTTTTTTTCAGTGAAATCAGAGGCAAGGTTCTCAATTCAGAAGGTGAGAGGAGGGCGAGCTATGAGAAGTTTGAAGAGGATAAAATTTGAGGTTTGGAAAAGCCAGTTGTGTGATTTTCTTCAGCTTTATTCATCAGCATATGGGGTGATCCAGGGTTGAGGCATGGTGGGGTAATATCTTCAATAGGATAAATGGACAAGAAACTAGGGAGAAAACAATTTGGAGTAGAAATGGTTCACCAAGGGGTCAAGATATGGAAGGGGAGAGAGTATAGACAGTACAGGTGTCATGGTCTGGAAAAGAATTGAGGGGTGGAAATATTGGAGATCATAATGAAGATGAAGATCAGATTTTAGGGCTGCAAGACTGAGGAAGAGGTAGAAGACAATGGACTGTGATTAGATACAGTAATTTCTGAGTTCATGAACATGGAAATAGTATATTTATGGATGACGGCAAGATCAAATGTATGATTGTATGTAGCTGAGATGGGGTGGAGGAGTAGGTCATGATAAATAAGAAAGTTGAGGAACCAAGAGATTAAGGTGTTTGAAGAAGTAGCAATTTGTATCTATGAGGGTAGGAGCTGGAGAGGAAAGATTGTGAACTCTTTGAAGAAAGGAGAATGTCCTGGAGATCGGTAGCCTATAGCTACCAGCATCTTGATTGAGTGAAAAATATGGATTGTATCAATCTAAAAGAAAGAAAAGTTGGTGGTAGATGGGGTATCTGGAAGTGGCAATAGAGAGCAAGGAGTAGTCCAAATTCAGTTATTCAACATGGTAAGTGAGTTGTGGATATAAATGAAAGTACGACTAGGGTTGAAAAGGGTGGCCAGAAAAACTACCTTACATCTATCAAGAGGGAGCAAGATCTCAGTGGTACAAGAATGTGAAAGGATCGGGAAAAGGATAAGTTTAACATGAAAGCCAGTTTGTTACCTATGGAACAGGAATTCCAGAAAGCACAGTGGAGGCGGTGGGCAGCTTTTGGTGGAATAAGATTGAGAAGGGTGGGAATAAGGGAGTGGTCAGTTGGGGGCCAAAGAATGTGTTCATCATATTTTCCAGTTTGATGGGCATGAGGCAAAACCTCAGAGTTGTTTTGTTTTGTATTTCTCTTAATATTAGTGATTTGGAGCATGTTTCCTAATAAGTTGTCGATAATTTGTATTTTTTTCTTTTGACAACTTCATATTCTTCAACCATTTATCTATTGGGCAGTGGCTTTTGGTCTTAGATGTTTGTGAGACTTTTGGCAGGAATATTTGATGCAAAGATTTTTTTCCCCCAGTTGCCACAATGTCTCATTTTAGCTACACTGATTCTGCTTGTGCATAAGATTTTTAATTTTATGTTATTGAAAATATCTAGTTGTTTTTTTTTAATCATCTCTGTCTTTTGTTTGGTTAGGAATTCTAACTATAGATCTGAAAAGTACCTTCTTCTCTTCTCCTCTAATTTTTGATGATATAATCTTTTGTATTTAGGTCATGTATCTATTTTGACCTTATAGCATATAATGCAAATACTTGTCTAACCTTAATTTCTGCCAAACTGCTTTCAAGTTTCCCCAGAAATTTTTATTAAATAAGGATTCTTTTTTCCCTAGTAGTTTGTGTTCTTGGCCTTATCAAATACTGAACTATTATGCTTAGTTTCTTCTAGGTCTTTTTTTATTTAGTATGTTAACATTATATACTTTTCTATTTTTTTAACCAGTATCATGAGACATTCTTAATGAATGGATGTTTGGTGATCACCATACCTTTCATAATCATTTGTTTTCCCAGATTTAATGTCAAAAATCAGTAATTTCTCCCAAGTTTATAATCTTGGCTTTATCTTGGATTCACTCTTCCTCACCCTTGTATCCAATCAGTTGTCAAATCTTGCTTTTTCTATCTTTACAACATCTCTCACATCTGGGCTTTTGAACAACTCTCCATGTATCTGGTCCCATTCTCTCCTCTGACCTCCACTCCTGCCTTACCAGGACTTATTGGACATTTCAGACTAAGTGTCCTAGAGACAACTGAACTCATCTTTTCCCCAAAACCTTCCCCTCTTTGAAACTTCCCTATTTCAGTCAAAGGCAACCTTCTAGTGTCTCAGATCATTATCCTCAACTCCTCACTCTTCCTTATCTTATGTTTGCAATCAGTTGACACATCTTGCCATTTCTACCTTCAGGATACCTCTCTCACATCTGACCCATTCTTTGTTCACAAAGATACTATCCTAGCCCAGTCTTTCATCACCTCTCACCTAGATTACTGCAGTAGCCTTCAGTTGGTCTCTCTGCCTCTAATATTTCACCACTCCCTTCCATCCTATACATAGCTGCCAAAGTAATTTTCCTTAAGCACGAACATCACCATGTGATTTCCCTCTCAGTTAACTCTAGTGATTTCCTATTACCTTTAAATAAAATATAAGCTCCTCATATTAACTGGCCTCAAATTATCTTTCCAGCCACACTGAACATTGCTCCTCCTTCGCCAAACTATCCTTCTCTCTGTTCCTTGCAAACAACACTCTGTCGGCTATCCTAGTGTCTTGGTTCTGGTCTTTCTCCATGGCTAGAATGTACCTCCTTAACCTCTACCTCTTAGAGGCAGTCTCTTCCCTTAAGATGCTTGAAACCTTGCTGATCCCCCTAACTAATAATGCCTTTCCTCCTACCTATTTAACTACTTTGTATATATTTGTATTTATACTATATATATTTGTATCTATTTGTTGTCTCCTCCATTAGAATGTAAGATCCTCCTGAGTAGGAATGATTTTATCCTTTGTTCTTGTATTTCCCACTACCTGACACAGAGTAGGTGCTTAATAAATACTTGATTAGTTGGTGACTCTACCTTCTTCCTCTTTTTTTTTTTAAATTTTTTTTAATACCAATGTTTGTCCATCTCTGGCTCAGCCTTCAGATAATCTGTTTCACTTCGACTATTATCCTGTACCCCACTTATGTGGTGCTTTAAGGTTTGTAAAACACTTTACACATGTTATCTCATTTGGTTCTCGTAAAGAGAATGTGTAGGACAACCCTTTGAAAACTCATTAACAGCTACTTTAATAATAAATACTGGCAAGTTATATAGTAATTTATAGCTTACAAAGCATTTTACTGAAGTTATCAGACTCACAACAACCTATGGATATTATTATCCATAGGCATTACATTTTATTGGAAGACTGCTATCAAGGGTCCCCCTTAAGGCTTCTTTTCTCCAGGCTAAATATTCCCAGTTCTTTTAAACAAACTGAAGCATTAATATTCTCCTAATGTTATTTTCTTTCCCTTACTTCCTCCTCCCCTAATCTCTCATTCTCTACACAGGACAAACATGGGTTTAGTTGTTTCAGGTTTTTCATACATATGTATAGTGTTTGCAGATACAAGACCTGGGAATATTGTGAAAGGAGTATAAAATTGAAAGGAACTGTTAATCCTATTCCTTGTTCCTATTTGGGGTAGGTGAGCATTCTGTTTAAAATGGGATGTCCCCTTCTAAAGTTTATTCTATCACTTAGCTACCTCTTGAGGAAGGGGCTCACACCAATATGTACAGTCCCTTTATATTCAAGAAATATATAAACCCTCATGTCATTACTAGCATATTCTCTCTCTTGTCTTTCACAGTCACACACACACACACACACACACACACACACACACACACACTTCAAACCCAAAAGTACCTTTTCATTCCTCTCCCAATGAAGGTTGGTAGTTCTTCCCTTTTTTCTAAGCCCCATTGAGTTGGACTGCCACCGTGACTATGGTTTGAAACTTCTTTTCCTCCAGATCTTGGTGAACTTTACAGATGTGGCTATAAACCTTACACAGGAAGAGTGGGTTCTTCTGGATTAATTAATTAATTTATTTTTAGTTTTCAACATTCACTTCCACAAGATTTTGAGTTCCAAATTTTCTTCCCATCTCTCCCCTCCCTCTACCCTAAGATGGTGTGCATTCTGAATACCCCTTCCCCTGATCTACCCTCCCTTCTATCATGCCCCCCCTTCTCTTATCCCCTTTCTCTTCTATTTTCCTGTATGGCAGGTCAGTGGGTTCTTCTGGGCCCTGCTCAGAAGGGCCTCTGCAGGGATGTGGTACTGGAGACTTATAGGGACATGATCTTGCTGGGTAAGACCTCTCTTGGGGGACTCAGATCTGAGCATCATGGTGTTCATCTGGCCTAGTGAATCAAAGAGGTATCTGAAAGGCCCAGGTGGGTTTGCAGTCAGTTTCATGTATCAGCAATTCTTAATCCCATCTGGGTCGAGGCAAGGAATTTATTAATAACAACAGTGAAATAATAATAAAAACTCCCATTTCTACAGCACGTTAATGTTTATAGAATACTTTCCTTGCAACAATCTTGTGAGTTTGGTAGTACTGTTAGCTCAGTTTTATAGGTGAGGCATTTCTACTCCCTGTTCCTAGGTTATAGGCCTAGTCTGTACAAAGCTGGAAATGGACAGCTTCCTTAAGTCTCCCTGAATTTAAATCTTCCCTTTGTCCCCAGAGGTGGTCATTTTTCACCCTCTTAGAGGGAAGAAAATGTTTGCACTAATAATTCCTTTGATACTTATGTTATCAGTTCTCTCCTGTTCTACTAACCCTCTAGGACACAGGCCTGAGAACACCTGTGAACAGGTGCAGTAGTTGTCCTTTGGGTTTTTCTCTTCTGGTTTTTCTGGACATTGCCCTTCTTTTCCTACCTTACCCTTTGGAGATCTAGGGGCTGGGTCTGAGTTTAGGACAGTTCTATGGACCTACTATAAACCAGCAATCTCTATTTTCTTCCCCACAAGCAGGATTTCCAGTGACCAAGCCTGATGTGATCTCCTGGCTGGAGGGGAAGAACCATGGGTAAAGGTCATTCAGGAAGCTAAGGAGAAAGAGATCCTGAGGAGATACGTTTGCTCAGGTGAGTGAAGGAGAACCTAGAGATAAATTGCTTACTTGGATTTCAGCAGTACATTTGATAGAATTTCTTATTCTATTCTTGTGGACAGTGTAAAGAGATGTAGGCTAGAGAAGAGTACCATTAGGTGTATTCAGAGTTGGTTGAATGGCCAGAGCCAAAGAATGATCATTAATGGTTAGCTTGGAAGCAGGTTTCTGGTGGAGTGACTTAGAAATCCGTCTTTGGCCCTGTGCTCTTTCATATTTTTATCAATTACTTAAATAAAGATATACCCATCAGATTTGTAGATGACAGGAAACTAGTATGAAGAATATTTTTTGCATATTAGATGACAGAGTGATGATCTAATATCTTCACAGGCCAGGCCTATGTATGACCCTAGTCTAGTAATATGAATCACAGAATCACACAGTTGGAAGGAACCCTGGGGGCCATTGGGGTCAACCCATACATATGTAGGAATCCTGAACAAGATGTCAGCTAGGCTTAGCTTGAAGATCTCTAGCAAAGGGAACGGATGACCTCCTGGTGCATCCAGTTTCATTTTTTGAATAGGTCTGGTCATTTAGGAAGTTTTTCCTCAGACTAATCCTAAATCCTAAATCAGCTGGAAAGATTTGCTAGCCATAGCACAAGATTACTAGGCCAAAAGTATATCAAGGAAATCAATCCCATGGTTCCAAATAGAATCGTGTGATGAACCATTCCTGAATCTATTTTCAGTTAACATATTATAAGCTTGATCATGTCCACAAGTGCTTTCAGCATCTTGATCTTAGCCAAATGTGATAACTAGTTTTATCACAGGAAGTTAATACATCTGCATTTTATATTCATTGTTTCAGACTGTGAAACCAGGAATTGCCTCCAAAACAGGAAATTTCTGATGAGATGGGGTTCCACTGCTCAATACTGGAAAGACCTACAAGGGATACTTCCCAAGGATCAAAATTTGAGAATACAGTGAACATGAGGGCATGTCAAAAGAAAACTGTTGGTCTTCTTCAGGGAAGAGAGTGGGAAAATTACTTTACCAGAAGAGAGGTTTCAGATCAGTGACAATGATCCACCACATACCTTACACAAGGGTGACCAGCCAGGAACATAATGAATTTGTGAGAAGTGTTGGTTTGGGCTCAAACCCTATTAGATATCTCAGAGTTTCTTCAGGAGTGACATTGCAGGAATATGATAAAATAAGTCAAATATTCAAACCAAATTCAGACCCAATTAAGTATCAGAAAGACCTTATGGTAGAGAAATCCTGTAAATCTATTGGATATCAGAAAGCATTCAGGCAAAGCTCTACTCTCAGTGAAGTTCAGGGAATTCATGCTGTAGAGGATACTTGTGAGTATAACAGTCAGAAGTCTACAACCACTGATCATCAGAGAATTAACTCTACAGAGAAACCCTATGAGTGCCATGAATGTGGTAAACACTATACCAGAAAATCTTTGCTTAATAGACATAAACAGATTCACACTGGAGAAAACCTTTATGAGTGCACTGAATGTGGGAAAACCTTCAGTCAAAGCTATAACCTCATTAGACACCAGAGAATTCACACAGGAGAGAAACCTTATGAGTGTAATGAATGTGAGAAAGCCTTCAGTGAGAGTTCAAGGCTCATTAAACACCAGAGAATTCACACAGGAGA